CTAAGGGTTCCAACAGTGCCCTGACTACGAGAAACTTCCAATGCACTTACCAGGGATCCAGGCTTTGAAGTAATGAAGCAGTTCTGGAAACCCTACCTATTTATACCACTTTAAAGGGACCTAGGGTTTCCATTTCATTTTCCATTTTCTTTTCCATTTGATTCGCCATTATTAGGGTAATATCCCTATGCCCTAAACCCTATAGGCACAGAACCTGCAAGCAGAGTTCCAGGAGTTCAACCCCATGCTCCAGCCTTCAACCCAGGGGAGGCGGTGGCTTCAGCAGCGGAAAGATTGCGCACCTCTACACTAAGCGTGAGGAGCTCTTTACAGGCGTGGTGGGGTTATTTTTCAGAAGTAAAGCCAAAAAAAGATGCAGGGACTGTGCAAGTGGGATTAGTATGAGAGGCTTAATTGGAGGTCAGGTTAGAAGTGTTTCGGTGGAGCTGATTCGTGCTGAGGGTGGCCAGGTTGAGGAATTGAAAACTTAAAGGCAAGAAGTACTACAAGAAGTCAGTCTATGCCTGATCAGGGAACGTTGGTCAATGGCAGAGGTTGAATGGGCCGTGGTTGGTTGCAGAGGTGGAGATGCGAACAACACAACAAGCTGTCGACAAAGACTTGGCAGAACAGCCAGGGGACGTCTCAATGGAGAAGGGTTAGCATGGAAGGAACATGGACGAGGGTGACCTACAGGGGCTGCAAAGCGAAGGGTCTGCTGCCGTTTCCTTTCGTACTGAGGGATGTGTGCTCGCCTAGCCGTGGGGTCTTTCTGCTAGGATCAACTACGACGAACAGGGCGTCAAAAAGAAAAGACTAAACCCCAAAACATTGGCCAGTGCCTTCTCTGGGAGGTGCCAACACCATCACCAAGAATCAGAACAGAGTTCTCAAGCAGCTGGCGCACGAGGGAGTCGTGGGGAGGCACGTGCCGAAGCACTCGACCCGCCTTTTCGAGCAGGTTGAAGTCTTGGCTAACTGAGCTCTTATTGGAACAAAGTTGAAGCTTGCTTGAAGGGCTACAAATGCAGAGTTTTTCAGTCTTCTTAAGCACCCGCATAGGGATTCCGCAGCAGAGTGTTTTGGTGCCAGGGTAAAGGGAGGCGTACAGGTTGCAGGCGGCTTCATCAGGCATCCATGGTTTAGGAAGAGAACATCCTCTAGCAGTGTGTCAAAGTGTTAAGAGGAAGCTCTACAGCACTTCATATCTTGCATCTTTGTTTGCCACCCCCTCAACGAGAGAAACGATGTCATGTGGTGCGTTTTTGGTGTCATGTCTTGGATTTGCATCCATTCGCACTAGTGTCTTCCGATTCCCCCACCTGCCCGTTGCGCCTACACTCTGCCAGGGCGAACGCTCATGTGCGGGACTTGGGTTTAGGGTTGACGGTTCAGGGAGAGATCCTTTTATTAGTCATGCGAAGTAGATTGAGTTCCTGGTCCAAACTAGGAGCCCTTGTTCTCTGATGTCAAGGCGTGGAGTCAGAGTACAAAAGGGTTCGCAGGTAGGTTTCAGGCGCCGTTTTCATTACCGAGGTGGTCTCTGACTCTGAAGACGTTTGCTTCCACCTCAACTTAATTATGTCATGAGCTGAAGTATCGTTTGTGGAATGCGGAGCTTTTTTTGGTCATTTTTGCGTTGCTTTGCCCCAGTCGTTCTGATGATTGGGCTTCAGGGATCCGAATCTTTTATCATCTGGCCCGTCTGCCACAGCGTCCCGCACAAGATCTTCCTATTTACCCCTCAGCGGCACACTGGATAAGTGCTGGCAATGAGCATCCTCTTCAACAATATAATTCAAACCCCAAAATACTGTCGTCCTTAATTGGGACCCGCAAGGTTCCCCTAGTTTTGGGACACCCCCAGGCCCCAGGTTCCGAACTTGGCTCCTCATTGTACTCGGCAGAGGGGTGCAAGTAATCCTTCAAAGCGTAGCTGGCATTTATGCAGCCTCTAAGACTCTACTCAATTGAGCCCGCGCCGACTAGTCTAGGATGAGGGCATGAAGAAGAGGTGTGCTAGACCAGTTTTCGAAGCAAAGTGTACAGTTGAGCGGGGATCTTTTCGCTTGAGTTGTCAGCGTAACATGGCCTTTGAGTCAGTCTGACTAGATAAACAGCAAGGAGGTTGTGGTAAGCGCACCCCTTTGATATGATTATCTTGTGATTCTTAAAGAGTCCTTATCATAGATGGTATAGGGTTGGAGTTGCCTAATCCTTTTTGTGATGCAAGCAAGCTCCTCCTTGAGGCATGGGGAGTCTCGCCTGGTATCTCTACGAAACAGCTGGTGAAGGAGGCAAGTTAGATGGCCCTGAAGTGGGTTTGGGGTGTGATGGGAACAGATCCAAATGCGTATCTTTTGGGTTTCTTTGAGTTGCATCTGCTGGTAACCTAAGGAGCTTCCCTTGCAGGAGGGCACCTTTCGAGGTTTCCATACTCTCTTTTGAGATCTCCAGCAGGGCATGCGCAGAGGTTTATTCGAGCGTCCAGTGAGGTGTATGGATTGGAGAGGGTCAGCAGGGTTCGAAACTCCTTGTGATGACATATGTTGCATCCGTCTGCATAAATCTGCCATTCTACTACAGATTCTTTTTGATCTCTACATCATGAGGCCGGCAAGCTTACGAAAGTCATGTGTATGTCTAATCATCCTCTTACTTGAGCCAGGGTGATCTGGGTCTGCAATGGGAAAGCTCGTTCACGGAGGTTCTTGCTGAAAAGAAATGCTTTGAACTACTTTGAGGTAGGTACTGGTGCCTGCAGGTTCGTGCATCACTGGGCTGGCACGTAGCTTCAATTGTCTAACTCGTCCTACACCTGCTCGTTGTTAGCTTGTTAGTCTCTGATAATTTAATTGCTCACATTTCTTATGAACAACTAGCAAGTTACCCTAAACCCCATACATCCCTGTAAACTCCAGTTTCCGTCTGTTGGGGCAATACGATTGCATCGGGTCTGGAGCAGGCAATATTGGGGGAAAACAAATTGGAAACTACTGTTTAGGGTATAGGGCTTTGGGTTTGCTGGACACAGGATTTAGGGCTTCAAGTTTGGGGTGAAGTCTATTCGCTCTGCCTAATGGCCTGGGGTCAAACGCTCAAAACAAGGATGCCGAAGCCGGGAGCATGCTAGTCTCCCCACACGCCTCTGACCCCTTCAAAGTCCACAACTCAAAAAAACACAACCTACACTGCCCACCCCTCCCCTCCCCCTCCACCCTTTTCAATGTTCCTCATGCTGACTCAGTCCGGCTGGGGACCATACTTCACTTGGGTATATGGGAGGTCCCTACTTCTTGGAACTCCCAAATCCTGACCTCTGTCTAGTAGGGAATGAGGTAATGGAAGCGAAGTGGAAACTACCATATAGACGCTACTATGAGGATCCATTCCTCCATTCCTTGCTAATCAGAGATTAGCGGTGATTAGCAGCCCTAAGCCCTATAGGTCCCTATACACCCCAGTTTCCATGTCATTTTGCATCTGATTCCTCATTATTATTTGAGGTATGCATATCTGTATGACGCCAATATATCCCGATAAACCTCATATTCATCCGTAAATCTCCCCAATACATTACAATATACTCTTGATATAACCACACTATAGCCCCATGTGACTTCAACATATTCCTCTATAGCCCCAGTATATTTCTATATAACCACAATATATCCCTACATGACCCCAATATATCCTTGTGTAACCCTAGTACATCCCTGCACAACCCTACCAGACCCCAGAATCCTAAGCCCTGATAACCCCAATATATATATATATATCTATACATCCTGAGAAGTACAAAGTGCAGGTCATCCCGGCAATCCAAGTCAGCGTGGAGTCGGCGCGCAAGCGCCCGTCGCCGGAGCACTGGGCTACAGCCTTAGGTTGCAGGAGGGTTTGGGGTTTAGGGTTTAGGGTCTGGGGTTTAAGGTTTAGGGTTTAGGGCTTGGGGTTTAGGGTAAGGGATATTCTTACCCCAATACTGGAGAATCAAATTGATAAGAAGATGGAAGATTATATGGAAACTAAGTTTCCGTAGGGGTTATATAGAGATTCATTCCCTTCCCAACCCGCCAGCCCCATGATGTTAGACATTGCCATTGTGGTCCGCCATGAAATAGTGGGAATATTTGATACGAGAGGCGGTTGGGAGGTGTCAATATTATGGGGAAGAGATTTATGTGGTGCTTATCTGGGGAAGCCTTCGAGGTCATGTGGGGGGCCTGTGGGGCTATCAAAGGGGGCGAGAGAGTGTATAAATGCCTATGGATCTTAAAGTTTAGGGGCCCTTCTTGGGGCTTTCTGTAATTGGGTTTTTGCGCGGTACACAAAGGGGTGCCCCTTTTTTTAGAAAGCTTCGTATATGTGTATGTTAACTACCATTGGATTTTTGGGGGAATATGCAGTTTTAGGGGTTGCCGGGCTCCTTAGATTGCTGCGGGGATTTGAGGTGTTTGGAGTCGGGGGCCCAGCTGCCTTCCGCAGGAGCAGAGAAGAGGTTCTAGCATTTTTTCCTGCGGACCATGGGATTCCAAGACATCTTGTAGGTATACGTGGACCACAATTTTGACAATTCCCCCAGGTATTTGTTCAGGCGATGTGTCCTGCTTTGGGGTTATCATACAGGGACCGAGAATCTGACAATTACCCCTTCAGATGTTATGCTAGCATTTCCACAAAAGAGTTCCCTTAATTTTCTCGTAAGGAATCTTCGTGTCCAAGGGGTGAGAAACTTCAAGGATAAGAAGGTGTTTTGGAGTTTGAACACTGAACCTCAGAGAAGAACTCCCTCAGAAGCTGTGCATACTTCAAGCTACGGACGCAGATATCATTTTGACTCGAGTTCTTGCAAAGAACGTCATCTTGTGTCCCTCAAGATAGTTATGGTTTTGTTATGATAACTCAGTTTTCTTAAACCTCATGACGCCAGGCTTCAGCCCCCCTTACTCAGAAAAGAACTCGAGCTTATCCTGTCAGCGGTGAAGTTTTTCGGGCAGGCCATGCATCGCCCTCTGCCCCTGGCAGATCGTGCTGTTCTTCAGGAGAAGGCCGTCCCCCGCAGTTTAGGGTCCCTCAAGCGCGAGTTATGGGGGTGATCAAGGGGTATTATGTAGGTAGGTAGGTAGGTAGGTATGTATGTATGTATCTATGTATGCGCGTATGTATGTACAGATAGGGCGGGTATAAGGTTTGGGATTGGGCATCGGCTCCCAACCATGGATTATGTAGCGCTTGTTTCTGAGAAAGTCCCTTTTTACGAAGAAGTTGGGTAGTTCAGTTTTCTCCAAGAAGGCCAAAACCACTGCCTTTCTAGAAACAGGTTCAGGTGTGTTGCGGGTTGAGGGGTCCATGGCTTGCATGACTTTGACCGTCGACACGCAGTGGAAGTTTCCCAACCTCGCAATTGCATCTTTTTTGTTCCTACGGTGCATGGAGGAAATCGTGGCCCACCCTTTCGAGCCCTAATAATGGAACTTGCACTACTTCGGAGAGATTATTTCGAGCAAGATTCGCTCCATGCACAGGAGGCCCGTTTTTTGGCAAATATGCAAAAGAAACCCCTTCAACAGAACATCGAGCATTTTGGCTAGGTAGACCCTCATGCTAACCTTGAGGGCTCTTGTTAGTGGCTCTTTTTTCTCCCCACGTGTTTGGGTTCTGACAAGCTGCTTGGCTGTCGAGAGCAAGCTTCCGCCATACATGGTTAGGCTGAAGATGACCTTTGCCAAGGACTGACGGCGAGGTCTCTAGATGCCGAGACCTTTGCAACTCAAGGGATCCTTGAAAATGCGCATAGCGTATTTTCAAGCGTCAAACTTTCATAAAATCACGAAGCACCCATACCATCCTCAGAAGGTCATGTGAAGCCTGACCAAACCCATTCGCCCAGTCGGTGCAGGGCATTGGTGGCATGTTTGCGTCTGCACCGCCTGTGCCGCCAGAGCCCACAGTATCTGAGGTAGTCATGGATTGTGTCTTAATGTAGCCCAACCTCGAATATTGATGGTATTGTGATTGGCATAGGGATTTCGGGGTTCAGAGCGGAGTGCAAGAGAGCTGTGTCTCCACTTTATGTGGCTGCATACTTGAGTCAATTCTCTGAGGTCTAGTGCAGTAGTTGATTGGTTTACGGATCCCTTCTCTGGTGAAGCACGGCAGGCGCATTTCCCAACAGTAGCCATGCCACACAGCCCACAAGGAAGTGTTCAACTTCTTCTGCGCAGACCTCCACCCCAACTCACATCGAGTATCATCGAGCAGAGTCAGATTCAAATCTCAAACTCAAGCCCAGCAAGCTCCTCCGCCAACACATGACATCTATTGAACCTCCATCGGAGGTTCCGTTGTTAGGGGGAGGTGAACCTGAATCCCTCACCCCGGCACCTTGAGTCCTAAGCCCTCATCCATGAGGTGTCAAGAACAGAGGACCACATAGACAAAAAATGAGACATGAAGCGGAAACTGGGCTCGCAAAGCAATCCAGACGTTGTAATCTTTCCCTGAATTCCAAGGCGATACCCCTTCCGTGTTGGCCCGAGCATGGTGTCAACTGTCGCTCGTCTACAAAGTGCTCAATCTCCGCTTTACAGTTTTTCCACCGCAACGCAGTAGAGTTCAGAGGTTAAGGTTTTTCGTCGAGGCATTGTGATCTTCTTGTTCTTAGACGCCTGGCGGGTGGTCGAACATAACAGTCCTGTTTTGGACACCCCAAATTCTAGGGGCGGTATTCTACAGGCGATCAAAAAAATGATCATAATTTTGGCCTGCCATGATACATTCCGCCCCTCACGGCACCTTGCAGGAAGCCTTGAGCGTGTGTTGTTTGCGCTGGGCAGCAAAGCTGATTTCAACGAAGCGCCTCCAGACTGGGACAAAGATGTTGCGTATGCTGTTGTTGACACAAGGCGATCCCGAAACCACAAACCCTGAAAGCCTGAACCCAGAAGCCAAGAAACTTAAAAGACCACGGCATCCTGAAATTCTGAAAGCCGTAGAGCCCGAAGAGCTGCAAAAGGCGCAGAGCCCCAACCCCTTGCTTGTGAACCCCCATCAAGGTCCTGATTTTACGCGACAGGATCCCTGGATGGCCCATGTGATGTAGTCTCTGTGTGCAGTCTCTATGGCATCCTTTCTGCAGGACTCCCAGACAAAGCAATTCTCTAGGTCCAGAGGAGGGAACACCGTTTTAGCGGATTCCTGGACCCGCCCCAAGATGAAACCCTAGTCGCGACACGAAACCTTGAGACCCTAGCTGTGCACCTCGAGACTTCAACCCTAGATGTGAAGCCGAACACCCCCGACCAGAAGCCCAAATCCTTACCCTTAAGCGCATGGAATCCTAAACCTTAAGTCCTCAAGTCAAAGAAACCCTGAACGTAAATCCTAAACTGGCACCTAGATCTCCCCCTGCTACCCACAATAGTATCATTACTTTGGGGTTGAAGGTTATTTGTACAGATCTTACAAAGACCTGGGAGGTCTAGGTCAACCCCAATACAATTAGTTTTCTAAACCTAAACTCAGCCCTAAATTGTAAATCCTAAGCCGTAGACTCGAAACCTTATCTACCCATACTTTTGGGGGGAGCTAAAGAGCTAGGGATAGTCTATATCAATATAATAAGNNAATAAGGGGAGATAAAGAGCCCAGGAATCTCCAAAACCATAGGGGAGTTATACCCTGTGATGATTAGCCCATTGAGCCTCAGGGCAAGAGGCCCGGCATGGAGCCGCTGGACGTGTCTCAGTCGGACTGCCCGTTGAAAAGTGTGAAGGGGGATTTGAGGGTTGTGGGTTGTGGGTTTGGCGTTTCGGTTTAAAGTTTATAGGGTTAGGGGTTGAGGTTTTTCAGATTTGGGCGTGGCGGTTGAATTCAAGGGAGATTTAAGAAGCTATCTTGAGGATCTTTAGTGTACAATCTTCAAATAGGAGCCCGGCCGGATTCATCTGCATGATTTCGAGATCGTTTGTCCTTGGGTTGAAGATGGAAGAATCCTAGGAGACCTTTTGGAATCCAAACGTAGACTTTTTTGGGGGCTCTCAGGAAAGTCGAGTTTCCTGCCGAAGGGCTAACTCATGGAGGAGCCTGGTCCTCTGACACGAGACAAGTACACGTAAAGGACTTCCATTTAAACTAACCCAACAAATACGCCCCATTTTAATAGAAACGTCTTCCATGGAATAGACGAAGCCAATACTTCGTGGACAAAGGAAGGAAAACGGAATCCTTCGCAGGGCATTCTGTCGCGTTATTCAAACCAGCAGCGCATTTGGTTCATACAGGCTGAATGTAGCCTAAAGCTCCTTCATCTGTTGTAAGGGGTGCTGGCACTGGAAGTGGATTTGTGTAGAAGTATTCTAGAGCTGTTCAAGGTTTATACAACTGCTATAAGCAGATCTGGGCCCACGAGGGGCCTTAAATGCGGGGGCTTGTATAGGGATCGCATGAGGCTTGTCAAGGTATTATACTACACTATAATTTGGTATTCAGATTTTGTTATACTTATCTTTGTTGTTTTTACAAGTACTGCAACGCGCTCGCTGCTATCGCCATGAATACTCTCGCTACCTGCTCATTCTTGCCAGCAGTGCAACTACTTTTGCAACGTTACTACGAGTACTGTAGTTTTATTTGCTTTTTTAGACGAGTGACATTACCAGTATCAAGCAGCTGCATATGGATTACGTGAGCTTACATGAGGTTTCCACCGGCCTCATACACGGCTTGCGTAGGACGCCATAGATAGTGTATGGGATCGCATATGCTGAGTATATTGCTGGGGTTGTAGAATGTCTTGGCTGAACAATTAACATTTCATGCGCATCATGTAGGGGCTAGATGGTGGTACTGCAGAGATGAACTATGGCGTGCACATGCAATACGTAGATGTCACGGTTGAATAGTTTAGGGTTGTACAAGGAGTATGCTGAGGTTTACTGGGATGCTGATTAAGGAATGAGCCACAGCTTTCGTTGAGACTGTATTTCAAAGCTGTTGCGACTTGGACATTGGGTGTGCATATGTCGAAGTGTTGGTAGAACCTTAAAATGGTAGATCTTTTGGGGTTGCTAGCAGCGCAAGGCTTCGAACTACTTTTCTATAGTTTCATCCGGGCCATTTTGGAATGATCTTCCCAAGTATTCAGTAACTGTTGGAAGATTTGACTGTACTGGGACTTTACGGATCTGATGTGGCGTCTGGGATGTGTCTAGCGTGATATCAGTGATTGTTTTGAAGCAGCAGAATGCTCCCTGAGGGGCTGCCTTAAGCGTAGGATTTCTATGCCGCTCCGGACGGCTTGCCCAACCAAAAACTTGTAGGTTTCTTGGACGAGGGAACTGGCTGATTTTAGAGCTAGTCGCACTAAGCTTGCTTCCGACTCCCTGAAACCATTAGCTGATGTAGCGCTCGTCCTCGTGTGGAGTCTCAGATCTCAAGAAGTCCATAACTCATACAGCATCAGTGCCAGTTGAGCTGGGGGGGTTCAGGAGCTGCTGAATGCCATGCAGAGGGAGACGCCCAGCTCGGGGCTCAACCCTCCAGGCTTTTATCATGGATGTGCGAGGAGTGTGGGGTCATAGCAGCAAGGGTTAATAATTGTGGTGCGTTGGTGGTGATGCTGGTGGTCGTGGTGGCGGGTGGCGTTGGTGTTGGTGATATAGCCGACCGGTAAGAAAGTCCTCATGATGGATGACCAAGGCTAGTTCAGTGCTGGAGTCTTTGGGAAGTGGCAACGCTGAAATCTCCACAGCAATAGTTGAGCTTGAAGCCTAGGCTTTCAGCGGATACAGTGAGAAACTTCACCAGATGATATCTTGCTGCTTTCATGCTGCCTACTAGAGAGTGGACTTTTCACATTCAGGCAGTTCTAGAATTTGGGATGTAAGGCTGGGCCACTGACGCGGTGACGCTGTGGCAAACCTTCTCCGACCAGCCGCACCGATTGCTGGGCACTGGCGTGATGACGGCATGGTTAGCCACTGCTGGGGATGAAATGGGGGGCTCTTCTACGGATTCTACTTGCTGATTATCATCTGTAATGCTTATTGTCAGATACTACAACTGATGGGTTCATAGTCCCCACCTGCTGAAATCTAGGATGTCTATGTGACTAACGGAGGAACGCCCCAGATTTCAAGGTTTGTGGAGCTCCTACATGAGGCAAACCCGCATCGCGTTGAGACCGTCACGTGTCCAAAACCTATACAACCCCGAACCTTCCAAGATTTCGCTGGTTCCGAGTACCTGCTGCAGGTATTACCAAGGTATCCTATTCCTGCAGTACCAAGCCATGCTATGCAACAATCAAAGATAGGTTTCAGCAGTGTACGGTGGCGGAAGATCCGGCCGCGTACATAGCTTTGTGCTACGTACAGTGTAGCATATCTGCAGACGCCGCGCCACTGGTAGAGCTTTGCCTGATGTATTATCTTGCTGGTTGTCGCATAGAGAATGAAGAAACGCAGAAGGACCTGACAGCAACGATGTTAATGGGGGATCATATAGGGGCTACTATGGGGACCTATCCCTGCATTTCTTACTGCTTGTGATAGCCAACAAGTAAATCATCCAGCAGCCTGAGACTGTCTAAAGGGGCAGGATGTTACTTGTTGATTTGGATCCCATGAGTTTATCCATGATCTTAGCTTGAAATGATTGGTTTTGGGTTGAGGTTTATGTTTTTGGGTTCCCCACCAATGAGGGTGGCCTCACAGCGTAGTCTTCCTCAACTAGATCCGTTGCGAAGATTGGGAGGCCTACAACATACCCATTCCTCCCCATGTTTAGGGGTTTAGGGTTTAGGGGTTTATGGATTATAGATACTTGAAGAGACATTTGTGTGGAGGGGTGTAGTGCCTTCTTGTTCTGACGACCACCCCTCGCAACCTGAAGTTGAAAAGCGCAACCTGCCAGGTCTTGAACACTGGAGGCTCTGACCATGCTGTTCTACTGGGATTTCCTGAAAATGATTCTTATGTTTGGGTTTAAGGCTGCATAAGCTGGAAGAGTCAACCAGTGTTCCAGTTGTAGTGGTTCATAGCTTCCGGGTTCCCAACCACACCATCAAGCCACAGGTGCCAACCATTTTTTGTATGTACAAGCGCTGCTTCTAGTTCCTCTAAAGACATCTTGTTTTGTTCTGTTCGGGTGACTTTTGGACCAACGAATCTTCCGACATGTCTCAGAAGCTTTCACGTGTCTTTTGCCTCCGGCAAGTCTAGCATGTGGAAGAAGGCGCGGGGCCTTCGCTCTGAATTTGCAAGCGTGCAGCCTCTAACCCTGAAGTCAACACCCCGAGTAGACTGAGAACAAGAAGCCTTGAGCACCATCAACTCAAACCCTTTCTAGGGGTCATCCTGGTATGGAAGATTACAATCATCCGTACCACCAACATTCAACCTTTGTTTTTCCTAGCTTGGTCATAGAGCCTTGAATCTAAACAATAAACCCTTGGCTCCATCAGCGAGGCGGCTACCCGCCTCCAATGCACAAAACTGGGATGCAGAAGCTGGTCCGAAGCTCTACTGTCTTGGCGAAGATTCGGGGAGCCTAGATGGGTCCATGTAGGTCTCTAACGGAGAATCAAATGGCAAAGAACATTGCAACTTGATGGAAACTGAGGTTGTACTGAGGTGGTATAGGTGTTTATGGTGGGTGTAGGTAGGGGAAAACCTCAGCTGTAAGCAGATAACATCCTAGAGTCCTTCATGCCTATCATTATATTTCACGCTCATGCTTTGCAGTATACCTACCTCAGATGGGGTTTCGGGGTTAGGGGGTTTTCTGACTAGAGATTAGGCTGGGGATGTATGAGCCGACTTAGGCGTTCAAGTTTCATCGTTTCAGGAGTTGAGGTTTGAGGGGTTGAGGCATAAAAGGTGTTGATGACGATTCTGGTGCAAACTGGGCTCAAGTAGCAGGATGTCAATCTTTGAGCCCTAGGCGTCCGAGGTCTCCCGGTGCCCTTCTATCATTAGATACCTAAAAGCCTTCTAGCCTGCCTGCTTGAACAGGAAGTGCACGCAGCCAGTCCAGAGATCAAGAAATCACCCGTCCGAAGCTCTGGTCTCTCAGTTCTCCGACCTCTCCGACAAGTTGGGCATGACGGTCAAGGGCGATCCAAATGTCAAGGCCAAGCTTCAATCCTTCTTCTTTGTCCCAGTGCAGACTCATTGCGAAGGAGGTTGCAATTGCGTGCGACTAGCTGGTGGCTTGTAGCGGCGTACATTGAGTCAATCAGCGGTCTTTGTTAAAAAATGATGGAGCAAACATAATTGTTGACTCTTTCGTGACGAGATGTTGGTACATACAGCACAGGTCTTTTTGTCTCTTATTCTGCTGCCTCGGGGCTATTCTCAGTGTTTTGCCGGAGTTCTTCACCCCGTGTGCGTCAGAAGCTGCGCACATCGGTGGCAATCCTCGCAGCTGCTCCTATTATCATTCGGAACGTTAGGACATAGATGGGCGAGCCCAAAGAAGGCTTAAATGGGACAGCGCTCAATCCTCGCCTAAGGGGCTTTTGACACCTTCCTGTTACTTCCCAAGCTCGTTAAGGCATACCTACACATTCTAACAGGTACTGTGTGATGGGCCCTTCGGTGCAGAAAGCTTTGTACAACATTCCAGAGTAGGCTTGATACCGTTAGTCACTTGTCTCGATCCACAATTTTGTGGAGGACCCGATGAAGGAAGCCGCGGCCGCCGCTGGCTACGGAGGCATAGCCCAGGGTCTTAGATGGGGCTTTGGTTAGGAATCCTGACAAGGAAATTTTGGGGATTTTCTAAACTATGGATTTGAGGCATTGAAGAAAACGGCCTCGAATATGTAGGTTGCCAGAAAGGATCATGCTTTTGAAAGCCTACTATGTGAATCGGCATTCTTCTTCTTTCTGCAATCGCCCACACGCAAATACATACATACATACATACATACATACATACATACATGCAAATGAAACATTGAAAATTCCCCTGCCAGAAAACATCTTCTGCAAAGAGGACAGGTCATGTAACCCCCACAGTAGCACGGTGAGGACTACTTAGGCCCCACATTGGCTCTTGAGGGGGGTCGGCAGATCCTGACGGCACTTTTAAAGCTTCAGGTGTAAAAGCAAAACCATATGTAACTGTAGAAAAAGTTTATCCACATGTTTTTCCTTTATGCACAAATGCAGCTTCATATAGGGCTTTGTTTATGTATAATGTTAGATGCCGAGCAGCGAGGCGAACCGCCACTGGATCATGTGAGCCTCAACGACCTCTACGCTGCCTTGATCTGCAGCTCTCGCGGAACGGTGTCGGAGAAGGCGCCTGCTCAGGGTTCATCACATTCAATATTATTAGGGGATATCTTGCAATCATACAGGATTTAGGGGATGCTACCCCAATACTTAGGGTCAAAAGTAAGGATGTATAGGGTTTAGGCTAAGGTTTGGGGTGTCTCGGGCTTAGGATTCATGTGTAGGTAGGGGTAAAGTTTGAAGCATTTCATGGAAAGTTCCAAACACCAGTAGGCCAAAAAAAAGCCCAGCGAAGTTGTTCACACAGCGGGTTCGTGCATCGACGCTCCAGAAGGGGGTCCATGAAGTGAAAGCACATTGAACAAATCGCAAACTGCTCTTTGGATCATGACAGAAGCTCGCCATGCCAGAGCATCAATATATAAGGATTATATTGGGGTAATATAGGGATTATATAGGGATAATGGAAAAGAAAATGGAAGCTACCATGTCATGTTCCCGAAATGAAGGCATATTGAACCCTCTAGAGCTGGCATCAATAGGTACTTCTGTACTTCGGTTGGTGCGCGCCTGTGTTGAGGTCACCAAGATTTCGGGGACTCTCAAACAGTGCTTTTTTTTGAAGGACCCTGTGGAGTGTGGAGCCTTGTGGAGACTAGAAGGGGTTCTGACTACAAAGGCAGGAGGCTACTTGACTACGTGATACTAAATAGGCAATGTAAGGATGTTCTTGCATCTCATTTTCCACTTGATTCTTCATTACTTGGGTAATATCCCTGAAGCCCTACATAGTTCATACAAATCTCCATGTATCAACCAATAATAAAGTAGTTTCCATTTTCTTTTCCGTTCCCCTACACACCCCTAGATGTTGCTTGCGCCCAGGCAGCCGCTCTGTTCGACCTCTACTCATATACAGCCGCAACAGGCCGTTCACTTTCCAGACAGGTGTGAGACCGTCTCAGAATGGGGTACTCTGAGCGAACCTGTGTATGCATGGTAACGGCACGGAGAAGGTCCTGTTCTGGGTGTTCTCAAGCAGGGGGGCCCCTTTCTTATTGGGCCCTTCTGTGTCCAGTGTATATGAAATTATGTTGCCATGTACATATTGGTGAAGTTCGTTTTTGAAGAAGCATCCGTGGAAGAAGAAAGACCTGAGGGACTTGTCAAAACCCTTGAGGGATGTGCAGGCATGGATTGTCCAGGGTTTCACCCCTGCATCTTCCCCCAAAACTTCCCAAACCCTTAACCTTTGACCCCTAACCCAAAACTCGAAGTCTGTGGCCTGAGACCGTACATCCTAAATCCTGAGCCCTAAACCCTACATCCTAAGCCCTAAGCTCTCAACCTTCACGCTGGGAAGGATCAGTTCGGCACATCACTCCCGTGAACCGGGTGGCCGCACGAGCCGCGGCGTCGGCCCTCGTAGCTTGTTTGAATTAGGGGATGTTTCTCGAAATCAAGGGGTAAACCATGGTAAAGGTATGTTATCCCCCATGTATTCCTAAGGTCCCCAGAAAATATGAACTCTAGACACCCCAAAGTGAGTCATCCTTGCTTGAGTAGACCCCCGACACTGGAGAACAAAGTACTAGTGGCAGTCATCATGATAAGCAGTGGTGGAGGTTAAGGCGGGGGATGGTGACAGCAATGACGGTGGTCTTTGTCTTCGCAATGAAAGGTGTAGTTTGGCCGGCATTAGTTGTCAGAACCGTATGCTTTCCAAGACATCAGGAGCCACAAGGCTCGTGACAGCAATTCTGGCAACGCTGGTCATGTCATGAACGCTCCGGTAAAAGTAATTCCAGCCTACGTAATGGTAAGTTCGCAAGGGTTTGTATATGCTTTGAAATGGCATCAGCCCTAATCTCTCAATTTTAGTCCAAGGCCCGGCTTGAAATTCCCAGGCATGTTTATGGGCTTGGTTGGGTGAAGTGTATGAGAAGCTCTGGAGTCAAGGGTGCCGCCAATTTGGATGGCTTGCTTCCGGGTCCAGATCAAGCTTGGCCTTCTGAAAACTAGGTCACTTCTGTCACTATGAAAGATACCTACTGCCATGTGTCAGGAGGCTTCTAGTTTTCTTCAGATTGAGCCTTAGCTGGAGCCCTCCAACCAACTTGGACTTGGGCCTCCGTGGACCAGGCAGTTGCAAGGTTTGGGCTTGGGTCTGGCTCGAGGACTTTAGTTATCTGGCAGGCCCGGCCCTGACTCCCCCAGGGAGAAACATGTCACGAAGATTTCCGAGGAACGTTAAGGGGATTTGGAATGTAATTGATGACCACATCCTCAACAAGTCCTCACGGAGTTACAAGCCTTCGAGCAATGCAGCTGTCATCAGTTTCTTGTGAGGTACACCAACTTTGGAACCAAGATGCGCAGGAATGTTGATGACATGGTTGCATAGGAATCGGCCCGCACTTGGAATCGTTGCTCATCTTTTTTCAATAGTCTAGAACCCTTGTCATCGGCTGCAAGCAGGTTAGGCAGTGTATGATTGCCCTCAGATTTATCGGGGCTACCTGCTTGAGGGCTGACCTTTCCACACCACGTCACATCATCCTTGCGTTAAAGACCCCAATTTCCCGCCTACATATTTCGCCCATACTTCTTCTCAGCTGGGGTCAACAGGTGAAACCTGTAGCTGGGTCAAAGTTGCACATAGGTTGTGTCATTACTACTATACTGAAACTCAATACGGCACATTGACATAGAATTAATCATATCCCAACATGGAACCAGTTCGAAGTTTGTAGCTAAGGACTCAGCGGTAGAGATGAGCCGCGTTCTGGCTCCGTCCGGGAGCCCGGAGGCTTTCAAGTTTTACTCAGCCAGGGATGCCCTGAACCTAGTTTTTAATTGTGCTCCAGAAAGCAAACGTGTTTCGCATTTTTTATAGGATTTTAAAGGAACCCCGTTGTTCTCTAGAGCACATGAGAGCAGTGTTCAGGCTTGAGGGCTTAGAGGTAAGCAGCATGGGGCACAAGATGGTTGAGAGAAGTTGCGAAGCCTATTGCAAAGCTTTGTTTAAAGGGGAAAATCGGCACTCTAAGCCCTGGCCCAACACCCTACACCAAAGCTCTAAGTTGAAACTGCAACCTTAAATCCAGGAGCCGTGACCGTTTGGAAAGGTTTCGTTTCTGCTTAGAGCCCAGAGTAATCATCCAATTCAGGCCAATTTTTTTGGCAAAGTGTCTGGGGTACATTACAGGTCAATCACCCCTATAGTACTAGCCCCTCAACTTGAAGTTCGTAGGGCCTTAATATACGTACAGTAGTCCATTGTGGTACCCATTACTGGGTGGGGCATTGACCCAAGATCAATCTGCCTAGGACCTGGGGCGAGGATCCTGAGGATGCCGAGGCGAAACAGAACAACGTCCTCAAGTTCACGGCCGCGGCCTCAGGTTTGTTGTCGTTTTCGCACAACCTACAAGGTTTCGAGCTAAGCAATGAGATTTTGTGTCTCCCGGGACATGTTTCAAAATCATCAGTATGCTTCACGATACGATCCCGAAGAGGAAGTCGAAAATAATGTGCCTGTAATATCTATAATCCTTGTACATCCCTACAGTCCGCAGCGGCCTTTTTCAGAACTCCTGGAAATGTCGAGAAAGATCTTGCTGGGCTTAACCTCATGAAGAATCGCAGCTTGAGATAGCTCATTTGGGGTGTACAGTATATGGTACTCGTATAGTGTTACAGGGATACTATCCCCCAAGAATCGAAAACCAAATGGGAATGAACATGGAGAATGACGTCGAAAGTAGGGGTCATAGTGTGGCAGGGGCTCCGTGTGCATGACATTGAGGTCCTGTGGATCAAATGCTTGGGGTGAGGTTTGTAGGAGCCCATCCAAAGCAAAGCACTTCACCCAGGCCTCTGGTATGTATTTAGAGTTTAGGGGTTCAAGGGTTTGGGGGTGCAATGATTTTGGGTCCTTGGGGTTGAAAGGGTCTAATCGAATTCCAAGAAATTACGATGCCATACCTTTTTGCCGCCACTTCATTTCGAACATGCTCCACCTTGAGCCTGACACCCTGACCCTACAGTGGCCCTGGTTGACCTTAGAGCATTTCCTGACGAGTTAAAAGAGGCGATAGAGCTATTAAAGGACAAACTTATCATCCCCCTTAAGTAGAATATGGCTTCGGGATGCTTCGGGTATATCATTAAGATCCCCATATACCCCATATTCTATCTACTTAAAGGGGACCATATTTGCTGGTCTCCATGAGCCCATTCAGTAAAGCATGGTCTTAATGTTTCCTGAGCAAGAATCTATACCCTAAACCCGGAACCAAGAATCTCTAACCAGGTCACAGCCCCAGATTCCTTGTGGGCTTTGACTTGTCAGCTACGGGACCTCCCCGAGCAATGAACTTACTGGGGGGGCAGTAGGGAATAAGGGAATGTGTCACATAGGGGTTATGTAGGGATTATATTTCCCCATTCCCTACTAATGACCAGCATTTAAACATAATGTAGGCACGAACCTGAAGGAGAAGTCCAAAAACTGCTCAACCTTAGACTGGTAACTGCCGACCTCTGAAGCTCCAAATTCGGAGCCCATTCCCCCATTCCCAATAGATCTACAATATGAAACAGGTCTACACAAGCTACCCTTCGGATTCCGTTCTTGGGCATGTGCTCATCCCCTCTCTGTCGCCCTATGTCAGCGAGAGCCGGCCTGTTATAAAGTTGAGGGTTTAAGATTTAGGCTTCGCTTCGAGGTTTTGGGGGTGTGGGTTTTGTAAGGATTTGCTTAAACCCCAAAAGTATGTAGAATGAGGGCCTTCTTGACTGCTTTGCTGTGGGCTTCACGCCATTGGTTTACAAACTTCTCGGGTCCAGATAGGGTTCAGGGGATTGAATGGTTTCAGATCACGCCTGGAAGGCTTTGGGTTTCGTTGTTTTGGCGTCAGCACAGAACATTCAAACAAGTTGGAACTGCAGATTCAGAGATGCCAGCTGAGATATTACAAAGTGTTTTGGCACCAAGGAACATCAGTCAGACGCTGCGTTGGTTTTTTGCATGAAGAGTAATAACGGAGCATAACACAGAAAAGAACACGTACTGCGGAGTTTGGAGCGAATTGGGATTTAGGGCTTTTAAAATTCATAACGGAGAATCGAATGGATACCCCAATGGAAAATGAAATGGAAAGTGGTTTTAGATAGGGGTTGTATAGGTAATCCACTCCCTGTAACGTATGGAGCTCCCACCCCACATAAGCCATTCTTCAAAGGCCTTAAAGGGGATTCTACAAGGTTCTATGAGGGGCTATATGAGGGACTAGCATAGGGTTTAGCAAGGGGGATACTCGGAGTTTGGACTCTAGCCCACATCATGGGATGTTGGGCTGCAGATCCTGGTGCTTTGAATTCTGGGTCATCGTTTCTCAAGTAAGGTAACTGGATTTACACTCCCTTAGCAACAACCCAGTCAAGTACAATTCTTCCAGGTCAGATCTAGTAAGAGAGCTTGAGCATGGGTCATCAAGTAAACTTACCTAAAACTTATTGGTTCTTAGCAATATTTTCGCCTTGTATAGTCCCTATGTAATATATCCCGTTACTCCCTACTAAGAGTCAGCAAGAAAAATGTAAATGCAATAGCAGGTCGCGGTGGGACCGAGCCCCAGAGCAAGAGCTACAACATTTGGGGGCCCAAGCCCAGGCGCAGCATGCGTTTATGACACCATCGATTAGGGTTTAGGTTGGCTGAATTGGGGGGGGTGTTGTAATATATTATAGTTTACTATAATGTATAAAAATATAGTACAATATGCTACATTTAAAGGGGTGGATCTAGTGACCCAATGAGCCCTTGACCTCTACCAAGCGGCTGAAAAGTAGGTACTTAGGCACTCAGGCGAGGGCGTTTGGACTTTTGATCTTTCGGACGCTTCAGCTGCACGCCGTATCTTCATACTCCACTAGCCAGGTTGCCATGAAGCAATCCACCCTAAGACCGTAGACCTGAGTCCCCAAATCCCTTAAAAAAAGCGAAACCCATGCATCAACCTAGATAACGACTGATGTCTTCCGGTAGCTCCTGCCGTGATCACAGTGGGCTTCTAAAGTTTTGATGACCATGGGAACTACTATAGTATAATCGGGTAAACAGGGTAAATATGTATTTGGGGTTACATATGGATGATGGAAAAGAAAATGGAAGCTACTGTGGTAAGCCATGTCCCTTCCCCTCGCCCTGTCGCCAGTTTTCTGCTGAAGGACCCAGAAGGACACGTCAAGCAACATGTCGAACAACTTTGGCGGAGAACCAAACAGGCGTGGGGTGGGTCTAGTGGTCAGAGTTTAGGGTCCAGGTCCACAGATCTAGATTCCAGGATCGAGGTTTTGAGTTTTTGCGTGTCTGGCCTGAGGTATGTGTGTGTATTAGACCATAAGCATGGACAGTATGCAAACCAACAAAAGCTAGCAATAGAATCGGAATGTTGGCCACAAATCCCATGGCGCATGTTGGTACTCACATGGCTGTGTAAGTATTGGAGCCCAGTATGTAATTTCATTTCGGTGGTCTGCCATGGCTTAGATAGCAGTGAGCAGGAATCCTACTCAAGGCATCATATCCGTTTGTTTGTACGGTCAGCTTCAGAACACACCACATCTACATCTATATGACAGGAGATTTGGGGAGCTGCTGGCTTTCTACCCATTCACACCACGCCTTAAACCTGCTGTAGCGGTTAGCGAGCTCCTTTCTATGTGGTGGTCTGTTTTCAGTGCTGCACATTCCCTTCCTATGTTTCATCGCCATTGCTATGGGGAGGTTCCTGCATTCCTCGAAGTCTTGCTGCGAATATAGTCCTGCTGGTGCATCCTGTAACTGAAGACGTCCGAAATCTTTGAGCTCTACATGCTACTTAGATTACATCCTGCTTGGGAAGTCTGCTCTTTGATGTTATGGCGATTCAGATAGGTCAAATTCTAAACTCCGCAGTATATCCGATTGCTCAGTATGTCCGACTCAGCGCTCATACGAATCTTGGGGTTTCAGCCTTTGTCCCGCAGAGCCATATCTTTGAACAAAGGGCGTCTTGAACATATTTGTTGCTGATCGTAAGCAGCCAAAAATGATACAATGCGCGAAGCAAAGTTGACAAGTGGGCATGTGCTGACACGAGAGTTGCTTTTCGGAGCTTATAGCCCTTTCAGCCAGAGATCGCAGAATGACCTGCTAACCCCCAAGCCCTCAACCCTTGTCTCCATCGGAATTGCCCACGAGGCTGGTGTGCCTTGGTGAAGTCAACATGGCCATCCAATGGCGCGGGACTGCTCCAGAGTCGGGTTTGCCTGTAACACTGAAATGAGGGTCGTTTTAGGGCCCAGCTTTGATGGGTTTAGGTCGGGTCATTCTCCCTCGGACCACATGTGCTGGCGGTTTTGAGAATTCCCGTTGTCTCTTGTGGCAACTGTTCTTTCAAGGGGGAATAAGCATGGAGGCTGGAACCGTGAGTGGCGGAGGTCCCTGAAGTGCTAGGTAGTTTGACTGCAGACTTCCTGGGTAAGGTCTCAGCAGAGTAGGACGAAGGATGCTGCATGAAGAGTTTCAGAAAGGTTGTTGCGGACATTAACGCGTTGCTGCAGGAGTGCCTGAAGAAAGAGACATTAATTTCAAACTGCTAACCCTCTCATGCCCGAATTTTTCAAGCACATACAAGGCGACTAATTGCAATTCAGCGACGCCCCTGTCCTAAGCCCGAACACGACATTAAAGCTTGCAAAATTTGCCCTCCCCCATAATTCCAAGCCCCAAGCTTGCATGAATGCATGGTGCATAATTAGCAGGTCGGGATGGCATGGGATCCATTGATCCATCCCCTCACTTTCCGCTGAGCACACATAGAAACGGCCTGCATCCATAAGACCTCGGCCGTTGCAACCCGGATCAAGCTTGGAGTTTCCCAACATGATCCTCAAAATGCCTAGGCAGAAACCCCAAATGCCACTGATACTCCCCAAAGACCCCTAGGATCCTTAAGGGCACTCCCTCTTTCAGAAACTCAGACAATGACGTATCAGTTCGGGAGGCGACAGCCTTTAGGGCCCCCCAAGCCTGTTGAGGCTTCTTTTTAATTGGGGGAGTTGGGCAGTTTCGGAGATTACATAATTATAGGGTCCTGATTAAACGGGTTGGGTAACTAAGAGCCCTTTAATGCTTTGGGTTTATGGTGTAGTGTACCGAAATCCTCGGATCGTAGCAGTTGAAACCCGTATTCAGTACCGTAGAAGTCTTGATAAGTACCAACAGAATTCCGTTATATTTCTAAGCTATAATATTGCTAAGCTTGATTGCAGTAGATAATGCCCTGACCCCGTTTCTAACTGAAGAGGCCCCTACCTGACAATCATGACAATCCCCATGAAGCTCTGCATCAAGGCAGTTTTCGTATAATTTTCCATTTCCTTGTACATTTGTGTTTCCATTATTCTACTTATTGAGGCCCTCCAACCCTAAATTGTTCAGGATCAGGTACCTTCTATTTTTCTCCATTTCCCCTATATATCCAGAAGGCCCTATGTAGCCCATATGACATATACGTACATACACACACACACATATATATATATACACATACATACGCCCCCCATTTTGAAAAGAGCCGTAAACGCTAAAATCCCCAAAGTCAGCGCGCTTCCTCAGGAGCGCCCAGCTTCCGCATCAGGGGCAGCTGACCGTCCTGGTCAAGTACATCAAGCCGATGGCCTGGTAATTAGAGCCCGAAAAGGATTATAGGGATGGTTTTGGGGTTTAGGGATGTATAGGAACATATGAGCCATAGTCTAAACTCCTTAAAGGTGGTTCCATAGGTGGTATATAGGGGCGCCATTTTAGGGCTTATTAAGTGGGATGCTAGGAGTGTAGACTATGGCTCATATAGAGATGTGCAGGGATCTCTTGGGATACATAGGGGTATATAGGGGGGATGCAGAAGAGTATGGAGGCTACCATGGTTTTTAGGAGTTAGGGTCGTTTCTTGGAGGTCCCTATACGGATGGTCCTTTCATCTACCGCTGTATATGTTCTTCCAGTTTTGTTATACTAGGTCCAACAAGGAATTGGCAGGTGTGACTGGTAATAGTCTCAAGAAGGAGCCAGACAGGGACAGTGTCAGAATATGTCCATGGCACAGTCCTTCTGCCCGTCGTCCACTTTCCGTGTCCACTTTCCGTGATTTCACAGTCAGGTTTAGGTTTGATTGGGGATGGCAGGTGGTAACAGGTCTCACTCCCATAAGAGGTGTTTTCATGAAGGTGTGGCCGTGTGTTTTTTTGTTTAGAGGCACTGCTCACAGTCAAAGCGTTGTCATCAGCTGTACATGTCGAAAGTTGGACGATTCACTTGAGGTTCCAAGAGTATTACATCGTGGAGCCGTACAACATGAACCCCTACATCACGGTGCAGCTCAGTGCAGAGGACAAGAGCGCAGCGGGGGACCCCAGAAAAATGCAATTTTCTTCAAACCGATAGCGTCCTTTTGGAGGGTTGTCAGCCAGATCGTCAACTCGAGGAACACCGAAGATGTCCTTTTCGATGCAACCTGATCCTTCAACAGCCCCACAAAGAGATTAACCTGCCGGTTTGCAGGTTGGCTGCAAGGGGATGATAAAGGATTCGGAAGACTACTCTAATTTCAGATCTACTTGTCGCGGTCAAAAGTAGCTTGGCGTTTGATGGCCTGCAAGGCACTGCCTTTTTACAGGTCTGTATGTGACTCCTTGAGGTCAGGGTCATTTGGTCACTTGGTAGTCTCCTCCACAAAGGACCCCAATACATGGACCCCGATGTACCGTAGCCCTTGCAGTATGGGGACGGCTCCTTGAAAGGGACCACATAATCCCATGCATGCCGTGTGGGGGCTTGTCGGGATTCTGGGCATGACTGGCATAGGGTGTAGAGGTTGGGAGTGCAGAGCTTTGAGGTTCAGGACCCTTGCTCCTGATGTAGTGTGGACGTCTGTTCAAAAGGAGTCTCAAAGGTGCATCTATTCAATCCTGAATGTGAGCCCCCCCCCCCTGCTCCTTTGCAATTCCTTTTTCTCCGGGAATCCAAGGGGTGGACCACCTCTCAGATTTCAATGATCATAAAGAGTAGATGTTGCTGCACAACCTTAGTGAGTTGTAGAATATCAGGGTCCTTATTAGATGGAGGATATCCTATGGCATATTGAGATCCCCAAATTACAGAGTTTCCTACGGCATATATTGCATGCGATGGAAGGCGGCGTAGTTTTTCTGCACATTGTATGGTCTTGGCTGTATTTACAGTCTAACATGATATCCATGCTGTAGCTAAATTTTCCATCTTGCTGCACGGTATTTTTTACGATTAATATAAGTATTACGACTATTACTAGTATCATTACTATTCTTCTTATTATTACTATTATTACTAATCACCTACAAGGCGGGAGGTCGAAATTGGGCAAACATCAAGCCGGCGGCTCAAGCCAAGTTCTTGAAACTTGGGAATTTCCAAAAACTAGGGGTTTTGTTTGGGGGTGACTGGACAAAGGCTCTAATGTTTTAAGATCTCTGTTGTGGATCGGGGCCCATTTTTGGGTCAGTACAGGTTTGTGGACACAAGTCCTGAGTAGTGCGCATCAGAAATGTAGGTGGACCCCACCATTAGGGTTTAGGGTTTAGGGTTTAGTGCTGAGGGTTTAGACATAGCACCCCCTTCCATTTCTTAAACGCCGATTGCGATAATCCCCTCCCCTACCAATAATGCCCACCCCCTTCAACAATAAATATTCCCCTAGTATAGGGGGGTTGATTTTAGCCCTAATCTAAACCCTAAACCCTGAACATTTTCGAAGTTTCAATCTTCTTTTCCAAGATTCCCTAGATACTTCAATGTAACACTAGCTTCCATCTTAATTTCCATTTGATTCTCTGTGTGATTCTCCATTACTGGGGCAATATTACGTAAAGCGAAGCCCTAAACCCTATGTACCCTTATATAGCTTATCAAGGTTTGGTGGCGATGTTGTGCACCCCTCAACTGTTGGTTTTGTTGGGCTCCGAGATGGAAGCCTATTTGGGTGTTCATAGGCTGCTCTTGCGGCAAGTTCTGAAATCATGCCGTACTGAGAGTTTTGATAAAAGAAGTAATACTGAGAGAAGAAGAAGAGGAGGAGGAGTTGTAATTCTAGTATTCTAGCAATCCTGGTACTGGTGTTTTGCAGGTGGATTGTAATGCAATCTGCAAACGCTAGGCATCTTTGTGTTGGGGCGGTTTAGTAGCAACTAAAGATGGTAAGACAGAATGCTTGCAGGGGTGTTCACCGCATAGAGTCTCGCACGGGTAGTATTTTTAGTTCACTGGAGTCAGGGTATGACTGCTAGTGGTAAGAAGTTGGTGCTGCTCAGCCCTTGCAACTTCTGATTGGCAAACCTTAGGATCGACAAATAAAGGCACGCTATTCTGAGCCTTCGAAACCCCGACAATTTGGCCAGCCTTTTATCCCCTGTACTCATGGGTTCTCCTGACCGCCCCCTCTCTGTACTGTCGCCACAAGGTCTTCCTGGACTCGCCTTAGTTGATGCTTCATAAGTTGAATTAAGAGAGAAATTTAGCGGGGTAGTATAGGGGGTTGTGCGGGAACCCAAATTTTCCTTCAGCTTTTTTTCTCCAAAGTCCTAGTCTGCGCCTTGGAATCCAAAAGCTTTTTCAAGGCGATGGGACCCACGTGGAGTTGCCCATGATTCCGTGTCTGTGCCCAAACCCCAGTGGTAGAGCCGCTTAGGAGATCTTAGGGGCCCTGTGAGGCATCTCACTACAGGCTTTTCAATGCCCTTCAATAAGAACCTTGAGCAGAGAAACTAAATACCCGGCCCCTAGGCTATGGTAAGGGCTTCAGGATTCTCAGCGCAACTTGCAGGATTCTGGGGTTTGGGGCTTGTGGTTTAGGTTTTAATCGATTTCAAAATATGAGGTTCTTCCTTTGTTCTCTACACGTCAAGGCATCCCTTCTCAATACGACTTTTTTTGGTTTGTGGCTCAATGTGAGCATGTAAAGCAGCAGATGTGTTAAGTCTTGCCTTCTTCCGTGGAGCCCAAGGCCTTTTGGTAAAACATCCTCAGCCTCTCAGAAGACTCCCATAGGATATAACAAAGCTGCCAGAAGCCTGCCAGGGCTGCCGTTTTGGGATTCAGTGTTGGCTCTCTCTTCAATAGCTAGGCTGCCATTGGAGCATACAGATTTTCCACGCCAAGCATTTGTCCGTAAATCAATCCCGGGTGAATTGGGAAACCCTCAGTAAACTCCAATACATAATTCCAATATACTATGATGCTTATTATTGGGACCCTCACAAGGACCCCTAATTTGTGCAATTCTTCCCTTTGCCTAGGCGCTCCTTCAGATCAATTGCTCTCCCTAAACCCTAAACCGCTGAGGACCAAGCAGGGCGCCTTTGGTGGGTACATCAAGTTTGAGCCAACCATGAAGAAGAAGACGCCCGGGCCGTAAGATGGGAGGGGTCTAGCATTTTTGGGGACTTCAAGATTAGGGTTGAGGGTTCAGTGCTTATACAGCCTTATGGTTTCGGGTTTTTCAGAGGCCACATCCTAAACCCTGAGCTGTGCCTAGGTTCAGCTTTCCATTTCATGTACTGCTTTCTTTTCCATTTGATCCTCCAGTATTGGGGTATTCTCCCTAGATCATAAACCCATAAACCCTAGCCCTCACCCCCAATCCCTATTTAGGGAAGGTTGGCTGAGTCTGAGGATTCATAAGGTTTGGATTTAGCCTAGTTCAAAGGCTTGCCTGCCTAGATTTATGTCCCAAGATCCAAGAGCACTAGGGCTTTGGGGCGTAGAGTTTAGGGTTTATGGATGTTTAGGGTTTAGGGTTTGGGGTCCAGAGTGTTTCAGGGCGTGGTGCAGTGCTATTAAGCAGACCATGGGCTTAGAGCTACCAAAGCACGCATAGATTCACCATTTCAACCGTGGAAATGTAGAGTTTTATGACCTAGGATTTCAGCGTTTAGGCGCTAGGGTTTGGGATGAGATGGATTTAGCAAATTGAGCAATGCTTCTTCAGGTCTTTTCATGCGAGGAACCTCGTCCAATGTAATTTAGGCATGGCAGAACCTCTCGTTGTGTTGTAAGGTCTGAATCCGGCGTAGCCTCTGGCTTTCAAGCGTGAGTGCCAGAGTTTCGAAATTTGGAACCTCAGGTCTACGGTGAATATTGTGGCTTCACCCGTCCTGTGATATCTATCGACCCCCCCGGACAAGCATACGCCCCACCCCCCTTTGCAACGAGTCCACAAGCAAACGTGCTTCTGTCTGTTTAGGGTTTAGGGGTTTAGGGTGCATTCTGCCCGGAGGCAGAATGCAAGTGCTTGCGTAGGGCATGCGTGCCTCACACCTCCCTAGGCCCTAAGCCTCGAAACCCCAAATACTGAAGCGCCTCAACTCCAATCACCTCCACTTCTTAAGTCCTTGGCCCAGCAACCCGAAACTCGGGAACATTAAGCTCAACCCGAAGCCCTGCCAAAAGTCCACACCATCCCCCGACTTCAGGGGCGGTGGCGGCACTCTGGGTCAGTGGATCCGTCATGGCGATGGCCAGGGCTACGTCAACGAGAGGGACAGCAAGGATGGCAAGGACCCGCATAATGGAACGGATTAGAACGGTGCGAAAAAGGGGTTGGGGGGCGTCAGAATGCAAGGATTTTGTGGTGAGACTGTAGGGACTACGTGCTGGCTATGTCTGGGTCATATAGACCTTGGTCGGGACCATGTTATGAACAATCTGGGCATAGAGGTTTGCAGTGTAAGGCTTAGCGACTAGGGGTCGACTGTGTTTATTCACTCAGTGGAAGAAATTCCGCATTTTCTTGTCTGCCGACATTTTCTGAGTTACGCACAGGAGCTCCCGGCTTGACTCAGTATACCAAAGAGGGCTCTGCGCGCGCACACCCCAAATTCCAAAATCATCCCTTTTCATTTTCACAAGCTTTTGGGTTTGGGCTCCAGCCGTCAGCTTCAGGGGTTCGCCCTCAATTTTCCCCATCAGTGTAAGCCCTCTCGGACATGTCAAGTAACAAGCGGCGTGGCGGCGGCCTGAAGATGCACGCCATATTCATCGTCGAGCGTGCCATCAAGTGTTTGTCTGAACAAGTCCCTTTGTAACCTCATTATCTCCGAGCCCTTTCTTTTAAATGTCGCGAATCCCTACGTGTCCTCTGTCTTCAGAAAGTCCCCACATGTGTATTCAAAATTGCCATCAAATGGGTTGCTAGCAAATTCCTTTTCCACACAATGCTTTAGCGAGTCGGCAGCTCGACTGAAAGCAGGTCTGCAACCAATTGTCCACGAAAGCTGCTCTTGCTGGATGACATTAGGGTTTTGACTTATGGGGGTCTCCAAAACAGGGGCCCGGTATAGACCCCAATCTATCGTAAAGGTTTAGTAGGGACTTATCCAACGGTATGGCAAAACAAGTGGGGTACTCCTTTGAGATGCCCCTCTGGCAAGGAAGTGTTTTGCAAATGATCCGTTCCGAGGACATCTCTTTAACAGCCTTCGCATAGCGCCATGTTAAGCACATCCAGACCATAGCGCCTTCAGCCCTGAACCCGACGTCCAGCCCAAAATCATCTGATGTGCGAGCTGCCATAGGATGTTGGCCAGTGGCAGTGGAACAAGGCACTTGGCTACACCGTCTGCATCATCCCCAAGCTTTCAAAGCATAGGTTTGATGTGGGCTGAGTAAGGGCTGGGGGGGTGTTAAGCTTAGAGTTTGCGCCACGTCCCGCTGGCATGAATGTTCGCGAGCGTGGTGATGAGATACCAGGGGGAGCAGCAGTTTGTGAATGATACCGACCTTCCAGAGCATGCCCACTTAGCCACAAACTCAGAGCCTCTTTCCTAGCTCAGAAAAGAGCTCTGAAGTTTTGGGCCGTTTCGGAGACTGCTTAGTATCAGGAAAGCACTTTGGTCTCACTGCAAGTACGATCACCAGATCGCCGGCTGTCATTCTTCCTGTCGTACCTAGAATCATGTTCCCATTATCATCCTGATTCTGACCCTCACTCCTTGTCTGTACTTTAAACCCCAAACTCCAAAACCTCACGCCTAGGCCCTGAACTCTAAGCACTTCATCCCTAAAACCTTCAAGCCTAAACCCGGTCCCCAACACAGCCTTGAAGCCAGAGACTCTTGTAGAGATGTGACAGACTCCTACGAAGGCCTGACCTTAACATATATAGGGCGTATATTGAGGTTCTAACGAGGTTATATTACCCCAATAGTGGAGAATCAAATGGAAAAGAAGATGGACGATTAAATGGAAACTGGGATTATATAGGGGTTATATCGGGTTTATATTGGGGTTCTAACGAGGTTATATTACCCCAA